AAAACTTTATTGTTATGAAGGTTAATCGACTGTCACAATTAAATTTAATTATTTAAAATTTTGAATTTTAAATGTGATCAATTGATGGTTATAATTTAATTGCAACTTCGATCCTTCCGTTAATGCTTATAAATAAAATTAAAATTATCCATTGTACTAATGATCAATTAATTTTATAAAGAATTCATCAGAGTTTTTAAATTTTAATATATCTTATAATACATTTTTAAATTTTTTATTACTTTAACAGAAATTATCTAAGGATTTTTATCATTGCAATTTGATTCATTGTGTCTCGTAACAAGAGACAAATAAATAAAATTAAAAGTAGCTCTCTTACCTTCTCAATCCGAAATTAATATCGAGAATATATATACATATATATAACATAAAAAATGTAAAATTTTCAAGAAGGTTCAATTTTCATGTATATCCATCTAGCTATGTATCTATATATGTTAGAATAATGATGATTTTGCAAATTGTATAAAAGTACAGCTAAAATTTAACTTTAATTGTCCAAATGTTTCCTACCATATATTTCAATAAGGAGGAGATTCTCAAGCAACCCTAAACAAGTAAATTATTAAAACAAGAAAATATATACAGGATGTCTACCTAAAATTTATTAATTCACAACCTTGATTCAAATCTCCTATAAATATCACTCATTTCCCCCTCTTTCAATACAAATTATTTATCTCCATTAATCTCTCTATTTATTTCTCTCTGCACATATTCAATACTTGTGACCATGGCGAGAAAGAGTAAGGGACGACAAAAGGTTGAGATGGTGAAGATGAATAATGAAAGCAATCTCCAAGTAACTTTCTCCAAACGTCGAGCCGGACTTTTCAAGAAGGCGAGTGAATTGAGCACTCTATGTGGGGCTGAGATTGCTATTATCGTCTTCTCACCCGGTCAGAAGGTCTTCTCTTTTGGCCATCCTTGTGTCCATACTGTGTTGGAACGTTTTGTTTGTGGTAATCCACCACAAGCTGCTTCTGGAACCATGAAACTCATTGAGGCTCATCGGAACACTAGTGTCCGTGAGCTAAACACGCAGCTCACTCAGGTTATTTTAATTTCTTTCCTCTCTAATAAAACGTTTTCGGTATAAATAATATATATTAATTTTACTACATGTACAGGTTCTGAACCAACTCGAAATCGAAAAGAAGCGAGGCGAGGAGCTTAACCATATGAAAAAGGCAAATGAGAATCAATGTTGGTGGATGGCTCGCAAGAACGATATGAGCTTGACACAACTTCAACAACTGAAGGCCTCTCTCGATGAACTAAAGAAGAATGTTGCTAAGCAAGCTGAGAAGATTGTGATTCATACCCAAAATAATCATCATCCTCATCCTCATCCTCATCATCATCATCCTAACCATCCTTTTTTTCTGGGAAGTTCTTCCGGTGGAGTAGGTCTTCCTTTTGAGACAAAGCCTGCTGGATTCAGTTCTAGCATTGTTCCATTCAACAATCCGAACATGATACCTCCACAGTATCATGGATTTGGCCAAGGATTCTTCTAAGAAAACTTTTGTTATTTATTTAAAATGAATTTTTAATTTTTCTGGCACAGTAAATGCCTCAGTATTAGTCTTTATATTATGTTGGGTTTTAGGATTTTAGCTTCTAACGAGTAAGGGTTTGTTCTAGAAAATAAGAGGCATCTTATTTTATGTTATTTGTTTAAGTATTTTGTAATCGTTCAGTGATACTGCATCTAGTTCTTAATATAAGTTTTTTTCCTTAAAACCATTTGCGCTTGATTATATATATATATAGATGTATATATCTCAAACATTCTACTACGCTTTTTTTTTTGTCATGCCTTGTGACACTATCAACTGCTACCTATATAACATATCGTAATATATATTATTTTAATATATAAACAATTATTATCAAAATATTTACTCATTTATATTCACCATACAAAATATAGAACACATATATACAAGAGTTTAGCCTCTTTTATATATATATATGTGTGTGTGTGTATATATATATATAGTGACCTATTATCTCATATTTATTGTACACCATACCTCGAGAGATTGAGGAAAGTTTAGAGCTTGAGGTAAGCATACTAGAATTTTTCAATATCAAAAGCTTTCAGGTTAGAGATAGATATTAGATTACACAAGCATGAGTTTTTGTTCTTCGGGTAAATTTATGGAATAATTAGCATGCACAAGAATTAAATTACGTAAAAATTATAATCCAGTATTTTCTTATGTACAATTTAAACGTATGTATGATACTAAATGACTGTATGAATCCAAATAAAAATAGAACATATAGGTTGTCGAGAAGGTAAGTAGTAGATGTATATATAGATCAACTTTAAAAGTATAATATAGTTAATTTATTCTTATTTAACAAAAAATTTGTAAGAACGACATGATAGGGAAAATAAAAATAAATTATTCATTAAAAAGATGATGCATGTACAAAAGTGCCGTTGTATTGAAATGTATATACGTATTTAATCACAAAGCTTGCGATTACACTCCTATATTGAATTTGGTGCTATTTTGGAATCACAAATC